CACATCTTTTCTAATTTTAAACCATATATTGTTCTCTTGCTGTGTTCACACAACAGCCTCTTTGTTTAACAGGAACACATTTAGGAGTTCTGGAATTTCCATTCTTTTCAGTGTTAGTCACCATTTGTTATGATACACACAATCAAATGCCTTCACATAGTCAAAAGCACAAATAGACATTCTTCTAGTATTCTTTGCTTTCAGCCAGAATCTGACAACAGCAATGATCCCCCGGTGCAACTTCTCTTCTAAATCCAGCTTGAACATCTAGCAGTTCCTTGTAATTAAAAAATTCTTTTCTTGATCAATACGCCCAAACAGCTTGGGCCAAACAGCATGCTGTTGTTATATGTCGTCAAGTCACCAGTGCCCCATGTTGTTGTTGTCATATGCTATCAACTCACCTGTGACTCATAGTGATCCTATGTACAATAGCTCTAAAGCCTACCCTGTCCTGAACCAGTCTCAATGTCTCCAACACATCTACCCCCATTGTCCATTACTGTATCAATACATCTCATCTGGGGTCTTCCTTTACTGTGCTGTACCTTTACCCTTCCGAGCATGATGTCCTTCTCAGGACAGGTCCCTAATGGCCACATGCCCAAAATATGTGAAATGGAGCTTCAAAATCCCACCCTTTCCAAGACAGAACTATTTGTTTTCTTGGCAGTCCATGGTATATTCAAGACCCTTCTCCAGCACCACAACTCAAAGGTATAGATTCTTCTGTCATCCTTAGTCATTAGCCAGCTCTCTGATGCATAACAAGTAATAGCAAAGACCATGGATTGGATCAGGTGCACTTTACTCTCTAGACTGACATTGTTGCTTCTCAGTACTCTGGAAAGGTCCCTGACCGCAGATTTACCTAACGCAATTTGTCTTTTTTAAAACATTTTAAATTTCGGTTTTTATTCTTTTTTGTGTGTACCGTCAAATCGGATCTGACTGGTACAGGAGGAGATTGCCCCTCCTTCTCCAGTAGAGCATCTGATAGATTAGAACCATGTACCTCTGGGATTCTTCAGAGCAATTTGAACTCCCTCTTTCATCACTATAGGCTCTTGCTCATATGTCATTTCATGAAATTCTTCTGTGTCAGCCAATTCTTTCTGATACAGTGACACTGTGTATTCCTTCCATCTTCTCTTGATACTTCCTGGATCATTTCATATTCTGCCCAAAGTATCCTTAAGTATTGCCACCCATGGCTTGAATTTGTTTTTCAGCTCCTTCAGCTTAAGAAATGCTGAGTGAGTTCAGCCCTTTTGATTTTCTGACTCCAGCTCTCTGCAAATTTCATTATCTTGCTTTGTCGTCCCGGGCTGCCTTTTGAAATTTTGTTCAGCTCTTTGATTTCTTGGTTTCT